GAATCTGATTTCTAGTCGGACGCCTTAACCGCTCGGCCACGACTGCTCCATGGAAGTGTGTCGCAGATAGAATCTCAAGAGGTGGAAAAAAGCTAACAAAATGATTTAAAATTATCTGAGAGATAGTAGTATGGCTTATTAAACAGACTATGGACTTGCTGTTATCGAGCATTGGGAAAGATTCGGTTTATTTTATACTGGAAGTATGATATTTTAAAATCAAATATAATAAACATAATTATTATATGAATTTTAAAGAAAACTTCTGACCCCGCGACATAAAACATGGCCTTGTCCCATTAAGTATTTGTTACTTAACATGATTTCTATCGGAAATCATTAAACTCATAAAATGTTTCAAAAAGTTTTACTGCGAAGTTAAGGACTCCCCTCATTTAAGGACTACCCTCAAAATCTTGCTGCAGATCCGCCCCTGCATTAAACTAATAATTAATTAGTCACTACACAGGTAATTCTCTTTTTTTACAATGCATTCAGCCTTTTTTATTTACTTTTTTACCACCATTTGCTTTTTTGGTACTACCTTGCTTTGCTTGCGCAAAAAAAAGTTATATTGCCGCGCTCTCTTCACCATTACTAAGTATTTTTATTTTTAATGAATGAAATAATGGCGCGCTGCTTTATCTATCAGTTTTGTTTTGATCATGTTGACGCGAAAAAAAGTTTGATAACAAACTGTGAAACTTTTACCGCCTTGCACCAGCGAAATTTGCTGAAGTATTAGCAGAATAATTTTTTACTGAAAATACCTTAAAAAAGTTAAGTTAGGACTCGCCAAGTAAGAAAACGTGAGTTTTGGTCCGGATGTTATTTGATCTCAATCCTTTGGCCCAAGTAAATGGTATGGTCAAAAAATATGGAACCATTTTAAAATTTTTTTTTTTTTACTTATATTTTTATTTTAGGTACATTACATGCTTCAGAACTTACAAAAAACCTGTAGGTTGTTGGCACAAAATCAATTTCTTTCGACATTCAGATGAATGCCACATTTCGTGGATAAGGTTGAAGACGTGTTAGACAGAATCATAGGAACTTCGGTGCGATTCAATGCGGAAAACTTAAAGTGGTGAAGCTACGAACCAAATCAATCTTGGACTGCATTTTTCCAAATCGCAGTCCAATGCAATTTCGTGGTCCATCTCCAAAGGGCAAGTAAGCCATAGGGTGGCGAGACTTCACTGCTTTCGGATCGAACTTTTCCGGTTCGGTATGTATATTAGGATCGTGATGGATATTGTAGACGGGAATCAAGATATTGCTGCCTTTGTCAATAACAATGTCGGTGCCGGGAACTCTAAAATTTTGATTCGCCTCTCTAATGAGATCGGGAAAAAGAGACTACTTCCGTAGAGATTGTAAAGGAAAACGTGTCCTATTTTAATTTGCGAAAATTTAGGGGCATTCCTATGTAACTTACCAGACAGAACCTGTTCCAAGTTAGTAATTTTCGCTAGAGAACACAAAGGTCTTGGCCATTTGCTCCAAGGTCAAGCCGTTAGACAAGGTCGATACCCTGACCCTTTTTAGCGGCTTCTTGGTTCTCGGCACGCAGCTCGATCAATTTAATCTTATTTTCTTAATCTTCCGGAGGGTAACACAGGGGTCAACTTGTGCCGCATTGCTCGCCACTCTTCACCTTCCAGACTGAAGAGGTAACCTGTTAGGGGATCGTCTCTCGGATTATTGAAGGCCCCACGATTTTGAAAGTAATTGAAGTCTTTTATCAGCACCCCTTTAATAAGTTCGAGATCAATGATCATGGCGATTCGCTTGACGAACATAAATCCTCTGGTTGTTGTCTCGGAAATGATGTTTCGTGCCGATACCCTTCATGTTTCCTATCAATGGCAAAGGTTTTTAATAAGGAACACCCTTTCTAGCCCAGTAGCTGTAGGTGTTGAAGTAACAACTGTAGGTTGGGACACTGAAATTCGGAAATTAAATTTTTACTAAATATTAAATAAATCGTATTGTAATTAGAATCTGAAACAAAAAATGATTGCATCTATATTTCTGCTAAAGGAAAGTATGGAGTATCTTTAATATCATTTTTAAGGTATCATTCATTTATGTATTGTATCATATGCGTTATATGCAGCCTGACCCCTATAAATAAGTAAGTATTTACTACAGTTTGTCTCACATGCATTTTCTTTTTATGACTCAGGACATACAAGACCAAGTCAATGATGAAATTGAAACTGTAATTGAAGAGAGAGATCTCTTACGAAGCCCTAGCCAAAATTACATATTTGGTGGTGGTGGCTATGGGTACCATCGCAAATTTTCCGCCCAATACAAAACCATTGAGAAGAAATACCTGTTCACAAAATTCACCATGATGTTGATTTGTATCCCGAACTCAAACCCTTCGATTCCTGTCGCTTCATACCTGCCTTTCAGGCATGAGCCGGGAAGTCGCATCGGTCTTCGCCTTAAAATGCTATCCAAGGTTGCCCTTGTCAATTTCAATTTTTCAAATATGGCTGTCACAGTTTTGCCAATATTCGATTTATATTCCAGAGATTTCCATATACATTTTATATGAAGAATTTATACGGGAAAAGTCTTTCTACAACATTTTTCGCCCTTGATGAAAGCAAATGGAATATTTCCGTGTCTTCCACCTTTTTCATCGAAATTGTAAATTTTTTTGTGAAGTTCCCACTGTTAGCAAAGTGAATACAAACATATCTTTAAAGGTATGTATATCTATAAATATTGTTATATCAAATATTTAAATATTTTCGTTTCCCCCATTGCAACGCCCCTGCCCTAAACCAGCATACCGTTAGTAAAAAGAGCTCCCCTAACGAAAAGACGACAACCATCACAAATTAGCAAATCAGCAGTGACCGATGACACTGCCTATCGCCTATCGCTGCTGCTCGGGGAAACAACAAAAGAGAACAGAGAGAAAAAACGCGTAGTAGCAACTTAATTAACAAAATTCGCGGTGAATGCGCTAGCATAACATGGACGATGTCCCGGTCAAGATAGTTGAGCGCTACAAACCCCCGCCTGCCGTCTTCCATCTGCCGCAGGCGACCCTGAACCGTCTGTCGCAGTTCCGTGAGGACTACTACGCGGATCATCCAGATTACCAGTACGACTTCCAGCTGGAGCGGGCGGTGGTGAGTCAGGCCCAACGCTGGCGCCAGATGCGTAGCCAGCAGCGGGAGGAGCTCGCCAATCGCCAGGAGCGCCGCAAGGAGGAACGCCAACGGGCACTGGAGGCCAGGCAGAAGGAGATGCTTGGAGCAGTCGACTACCCCAGTACGGACGACTTGTCATCAGACGAGGGGGAGGAAGAGCAAGAGAAGAAGAGCCCTGAACGGAAGGGGGAGGAGCAGCCACCTCCTACCGCCTCTGAGTCACGCGACTCCTCGCACGAACCAAAGTCAATAGGCGTGTGCAATTTCCACACCATCTTGCAGCCCACCATACTGAGCGCCACTCCAGTGGCTATCCCGCAGACGCTGCACAAGCGAAACAGCTCCCTGAACTATGCGGATTTTGAGTACAATATGAACTCCACACCCTTCGACAACATCGAGCTGAAGACCATCAATGATCTGGACATACTCGCTCAGGTGCTGCACCAAACCCAGCTGGAAGAGCGCAGGGATCAACAGCAACAGCAAGGAGATCAGACGCAGCAGGAAGTTTGCCCCAAGGAGGAGCAGCCCCATCAGGAAGTGCCAGCTCCTGTGGAACTAACGATGACTACGCTGGCGGAGACCAAAGCGACGCTCGACAGCGTCAATTTCCATGTTCACTGTGATGATGATGAGGGCAGGAGGGAGCCCAGCCACATTCCACCCACGTCTCTATACCCCACGCCCATGTACAGCGCTTCCGCCCAGCAGCAGCTGCATAAACCGGAGCACTTCCAGGTGGGACACTATTAAGTAGTTACTTAGAACAAATGGCCTTAATCTGTTAAGTGGCTTCTGGGAAATTTATTGGCGATTGTATTTGTTACTTCGTTTGTACTTCGTTTGAAGCCTTTATATAGTAATATCATATTCTCATATTTTAATAAAAGAGCAAATCATTAACTCATCCACAGTTTCAGTTTGCTTCTTCTTTAGTGTGGACCATGGTCTTTAAACTGTTAATTAATACATTTCTTTGATTTTTTTAACCCAAGCAGTAGCAAAGTATTTCTTTCTTTAATTCTAAGGTTTTAGTTTTCATGGGAATAGGTTGCAATTTTGTAATTCGGCTTTTTAAAATCTAAATAGAGTTTTACCTAAGAAGTTATTATTTTTGCAGGTGTACCACATGCAGGGTTATAGCCACCAGCCCTACTACTCTCCGCAGCAGCATCCGTTTCAACAACAAAACAACTACAATGTCAATGGATTTGGCACGCCCAGCCATTTGATGGTGCCTCCAACGCCTTCCTCCGTGCTGGCCCTTAGCCAGTCGGAGGACGAGGTGGCCACCAAGTCAAGGAGTGTGCCCGACATCCTACGGGAGCTGAAGACAGAGCTGCAGCAGGCGGAGAAGCGTCGCACCCGCCTGCACAGCCACAACGAAGAGCAGCAGACGAAGATGGCGGTGGCCGTAGACAGGAACTCCTTCAGGGAGCTGGCTGGACCGGCACAGAAGTTGGCGCAACGAATCAGTACTATGGGCTTTCCACTGGAACGGGTAGCAAAGGTGGTTAGCCTGTGCGGCATCGATGATAAAAAGGTCTGTTCTTTTGAGGGACGTTTGAAAAGAACAGTCACTGGAAATCTCCTCTATCCCCAGATTATCGAGCACCTTATCCCACTCGGCGAGCTCATGGACCTAGGTTTTGATGAATCGAAAATCTCAGCGGCGCTTCTCAAGTTCAACAATAACAAGGACAAGGCGCTAGACTATCTAATCAACTAGATCAATTTAGAAGAAAACCTTTTGATACGGCCAGCTTTTACCCGTGCCCTCACCCCGCATCCTACGCCCAAGCAGCTTAACAAGTTGACTCCTCTAAATGTATTTTTAATTATTACAAGTTCTCGTGAGATATTCCTTGCTTAGGTTGGGAGTTGAATGCTTCAGAATCCTCAGCAGCAGAATAAATATAAGTCAGTAAAGTTAGTCAATCCCGATCCCTCTCAGTTCATGCCCAACATCAATAGGTTAATGGCGTGTTCCACATTTCCATCTGAAATTTCCAAGTAGCTGACGTTTTGGGTGTGATTGATGAAGCCCATGGCGGCCATGGTGCGCAGTTGTTCGGTGAACCGATGTCGGCGATAGCAGCGTGGTAGCACGTCGCTGTCATCACCACCATCGTCCTCGTCATCAACATCGTCGGCAGGTGCTGGGACGACTGCGTCTGCGACTGGTGCTCCGCCGGTTTCCACCTCCATGTTCTCCACTGGCGGTGGTTGATGCTGCGCCAGGGATTGAAAAGCGCGAGCCAGCTCATTGCGGAACAGCTCCGAGGAGATGGAACCGCTGCTACTGGCTCCACTGCTGCTGGCTGCCCCTGTTCCCACTGATCCTCCGATTCCAGCCAAAGGCGCCGAAGTGGTCCTTGGCCTCTCGTCACCCTGCAGTGCCTCATCTGCATTTCGCTGCGCAATATTCGAAAGTGAGTTGAACGAGGTCACATTGGCCAAGGCGTTGGCTAGCTGCTGGCGGCTGATCTGACGGATGTTGGCCATCTCATCGCGCCGATTGGCAGCCGCAGCAGCTGCTACGGCGGTGCTGCTGCTTCCGCCACTGCTGCTGCTGCCTGCTCCCAGAGAGTTCTCCTCCTCTGACGAAGTTGTGGACTCTGAGGCAGCCTGTTCTTGAACTAGAAGAGCAAATAGAAAAGTTTTAACAACTGCGCAGGAGTAACAACTTGCTATACTTACACTGAGTGGCAGAGCTATTCCTGGCCAGCTCCTTGCGAATAGTGTCCACAATAAATGGAGCAGCCTCACAGATGAGGGGGTAATCCTTGACTAGATTCTGGACCACCTCCGGCTCGTGCAACACGTTAAATAGCACGGAGTCGCGGATCAGGGCCTGGGCGCCCAGATTGCGCCTGAATTCCGGATACTCCGCGAGAATCTTCTGCAGGATGTTGAACCGCGAGGTCACGCTGATCTGCAGGTGGGAGGTCAGCGAGAACAGCTCCTGGATGTGCTTCGTGTTGATCTCTGTCGCCGCTGGCGGCACATACGGCGAGTAGCGCTTCACCTTTCGGAAGCAATGTATGACGGCGTTGGGCTGCAGTGACCGGCTGAGTGTGTCCGCATCTTCCAGTACGCGACCGTGGTGGATGATCTCTGCAAGTGCGTAGCAGATGACTTAGCACAAAGGGGACAATGAGCAGTAGTGGTGTCGGAGGGTCACTCACCCAGTTCGCTGGCGTCGAATTGCAGCTCCATCTCCTTGGTTACCACCGCCTTCAAATAGGCCACATCCCGCTCCAGGTCTATATTGTGCAGCGGATGCACATCGCTCAGCTTGTTCTTGAGCAGCGCGTACAGGGTATGCATAGTGCGAGCAAGTATTTTCTGCGTAATATTCGTACTGCACTATTTTGTGGGTAATTTTGTTTTGTTCAAAGGCAGGTTGGAACTGGTTCCAACGAACCGCCTTGGCCACAGGGTGACCCTTACATGCTCCGATTACCAAAAGTTGTCCTATCGCTCACCGATAGCATTTTTAGAAGACTGTTGAAAAAAAGCTAGATCTATAAATACATTTCCTAACGACCTTTACTTACAGTTTTTACAACCTTAATAGCCATTAAACAAGTTTTAATTTTTTAAATAACATCAATATATGTACAAGTTACAATCACTACAAGATTTTTCACTTTTATTTGAATTGTAATTTCCAAAAAAAGCTAAAGCCGTTAAAAATATAGGGTGACCCAGAAAAACTACAAATTTATTGATGTATATCGAGCTATCGCTTTTTGACAGTTGACCGCTGCAAATATCTTAAATATTCGAGTTGTAAAATGACCTCCAACGAGACCCAGACTGAGGGAAAACATAGGGTAACGATTCCCTCTGCGAGCCCTGAAAAAAGTGAAGAATCCAACGATGAATCCAAAAGCGTTCCTAATGAGGATCCCAAAAGAATTTCACATAGCGAGTTCCAAAAGAGGGTAACCACGGATAGGAGCAATGAACCGGTGTTCAGTTGCCAGTTCGAGGTTTTCGGGATAGTGCAAGGTAGGTAAGCCCACCCCCAAAAATAAAAGTAATTAATAGTCATTTACCCCACAGGCGTTTCCTTCCGAATGGTAAGAGCTGGCTCTGCGTCAATAATTTAGGCTGAATTCCATAGCCCAGGACCTAATCATATCATTCCAAACTTATAGTACACCTTACGAAGAGCGCAAAAGTTGGGCGTTCGGGGCTGGTGCAAGAACACCACTGAAAACACGGTGAAGGGTGAAATTCAAGCGCATCGACATGCCTTTGAGTCCATGTAAGTCACTTTTCAGTAGCCAGAAGTGGTACTTAACGGATTGTCCACAGGCGCCTCTGGCTAAAGCACACCGGCAGCCCCACTAGCCGAATCGACAAGTGCATCTTTGGCGACACCTCTGAGCTTTCCGAGTTTACCTACAGCAACTTCTCGATTGTGGTGGATTAATTTGTGTTCCAGCTTTAGACCAATTTAAAACTGAAGAAATTTTATTATTTGATTTATTTTCGTTTGCTTAGATTTTGGATATGAATTAAAAATTGTCCTACAGTTATAAGTTGTAATACAAGATTTTCACTTCAAGTGATCTTAAACTTAAATCTTATTGTTTAATTGAACAATGTTTTCTCAGGGCTTCGAAGTCAATATTATACATGATCTTAGTCTTAAAAACTCTATATTTAATAATAATACAAAGCTATAGCTGCAATAAAATAAGCATATGTTATAGGTAATTTCTCAATTGCCTTTTAACCTGAGAATAAATAAATAATTAAATAATAATACAAAGTAGTCTTAAATAAATTATAAAAACATAGTTACTTTCTTTTTATATTTAAACTAGACGTCGGAATATATATTAAGTAATTTTTTACACCCGATTTTTGATGCTTCGTAAGTTTCAATTTTTTTTCGAATAATCATAGTTTGGCAACTTATCCAAAGAGGGTTTTTAGACAAAAAAAATTGATACTGTTCAAGGATTCCAGTACATAGTCAAAACTAATGTAAATAATTATAAAGTAGCACTTTCTCAAAAGTAAAATCAATATCTATAAATTCAAACTAATAATTTGATTATTTTGTTAAAACAAATATGGACCGCGCATTGGCAGAATATTGGGTTTGGTGTTTAAACACTGGCCGGCATAAGTATTTTGACGAAGCTAAAGCTAAATATACTCATAATTTGAATTTGATTCATGTACATTTTGGCATCCAAACAAAACTAAACTAAGAAAGAATTTTTTCAAAAATTGTTTTTCTTATATTTTTTATGATTTTTTAAATGTGGCAGTGTCAGAAAAAAGTATGAAAAAGAGAAAAATGTGACTGGAATGCAAATTTCTAAACAATTTTAAAGCATTTAGCATCAAAAAATATTAGTTGTCAAGACGTGTAAAAAAGATAAAAAGTAAATTTTCTCAAAAATTTCCCATTTTCAGTAAGTACTGATTAAGTTAAGAAAATTCCTGTGTTTTTTAAAAAGAATTTTATTTAACCTTTGTTTCATCAAAATACTTATGCCGGCATACTGGGCCGGCATTAGGGATGTGAAAAATATATCAAGAGATCAATATATCACTATTTTCGAATACAAGTAAATATTTCGTGTATACAATGTATTGAACACGTATGTTTTATATCATATAAAACTATACTTTTCAGAACCCAAGTTCCATTGTTAGTAATTTAAGTCTTTAACTCACCTATGTGTTCAATAGTTTTCAATTTAATTATTAAAGTTACTTTTGCTTTTTTCCCCTTTTAAATATAACCGAACAATTAATTTAACTAAAAATATATTACAAATGCTGCATATATCGATACTTGCGATAAATATTTATTCCATATGATATTTTTTTAAAAAGTGATATGTCGATACGATATTTTTTTGTATACCTCCACAACCATAGCCGGTGAATGGGGACGTAAATTCTTGTTTTATTCCAATCGAATCATTGAAGCAACAGGTTGTCCAGCAGCTTCTGCAGTTAATCTCAGTAATACAAGTACTCAAGAAATAAAGTAAAATGGTCAACACCAAGTTCCTAACGTTCAACAATGGAGAGAAGATGCCCGTAATTGGCATCGGCACCTGGCAGGTAATTACAATCACGATTTTTTGTAAATTCTATAAATTATAAGTAAGTGGATTCTTGTCAATATTTTTTCAACTAATGAACGACCTGAAAAAATAGCTGACACGTCATTTAAATCTCTTGGAGTTTCCGATGCAATCAACCAAATCTGTTTGTTCTGCCGACTTTGGACCGGTTTTCAAAAACAAACAATAAACCTTTATTCATATGCAGCTGGGCTAATGGGCTTGACTTTCTCTGGTCTGGGATCAAAAAACGCCAGGGTCTATTAGTAGTGTAGATACAATCAACGTATTTATATATAATCACAGCCACTAAACCACATAAACATTACCACATTATAGGCATCCGATGAGGAAATTGAAACCGCCATTGATGCGGCCTTGGAAGCTGGTTATCGTCACATAGACACGGCGCCAGTGTACGGAAATGAAAAAGCCATCGGAAGGGTCCTCAAACGTTGGCTGGACGCCGGAAAGGTCAAGCGGGAGGAGCTGTTCATTGTGACCAAGGTGCCACCTGTTTGTGAGTAAATTGTACTTATGTATGTTATTCAGTTTACATTTTTGATGGAAGATCTCAAATTTCTATAACTCCTAATAACTTGTCCTCGAAAAAATAATAATAATAGCCCTCCGAATCAAATAACATTTCACCATAACAATCTTGATGTTCTGGAAAAAATCCGGTGAACAAGATAAGATAATGACATTGCTTGTTTTTACAGAAAACAAAAAAAAAAAAATTTTTAAGCATTCCAATTTTGAATTTTAAAATAGTTTTATTATCAGCGATTTGATATGATGGATGAATGTAATCTTAAAAATTATTTAAGTTACATATATCCATCTAAAAAAAATAAATAATTTGCATTCTCCATAATTGAATTACTCCTCCTTCTAGCCAACCGCCCTCACGAGGTGGAGCCGACCATTAAAAAGTCACTGGAAGATCTGCAGCTGGAATACGTAGACTTGTATTTGGTGCACACTCCCTTTACCATCCTTATCAACGAGGATGGCAGCTTTAAGGTAGTTTGGCATTTTTTGAACATACATACCTATATAACATTTATATCTTCACCTTGATTTGAAGGTTGGCGAGGATGGCCTGATGGAGGTTGACGTGACTACCAATCACGCCGCCATCTGGGTGGCTATGGAGTCTCTGGTGGAGAAGGGTCTGACAAAATCCATCGGCGTTTCGAACTTCAGCAAGGATCAGGTTGCTCGCCTGCTAAAGAACTGCAAGATCCGGCCGGCCACAAACCAGATCGAACACCATGTTTATCTGCAACAGCGTGATCTGGTCGATTTTTGCCAGTCCGAGAAAGTGACCGTTACCGCCTACTCCCCTCTGGGATCCAAGGGAATCGCCAAGTTTAACGCAGGTGCCGGCATCGTGAGGGATCTGCCAGATCTGATGGACATCCCGGAGGTCAAGGAGATCGCCGCCGCCCATGGCAAGTCGCCAGCCCAAGTGCTGCTCCGCTGGATCATCGATACTGGTGTGGCCGCCATTCCCAAGAGCACGAATCCGGATCGCCTTAAACAGAATCTGGATGTCTTTGACTTTGAACTGACGGCGGAGGAGGTGGCCAAGTTGTCCAGCTTGGATAAGAACATTCGCGTCTGTGACTTTGCCTTCTTCCATGGGTATGAATACGTGTCATTGCTATATTGGCTTTATTTTAAGCCATTTTATATTTTTCTTGCAGTGTGGAAAAACATCCGGAGTTCACCTTCAAGAATCAGTACACCAACTAATCAGCATAACACTTTTAAAAAGCGTAAAAAATAAGGATATATTTTTATAAAATACGGAAAGTATTTTACGATTATATTGCACTTATCGTAAAGCTTTCCCTTTTACGAATTTTTGAAGCCAGGTTTCTGTCATATTATCCACGTATATATTTCAATACTCTGTATTTAATGTTAACTATACTTCATAAATTATCGAAATTAAAGCTCTTTACTGCTTTTCCTTGGCGTTCAACAGGTGAAATGTTTTGGTTTTGGTTACAATTTTTAGCTCAACAGGTTTTCCCCCTGTCACAGACTTTCCATCTGTAACGTCTTTCGTTTTCGTTGTGCTGTCGTTAGCGGTTTCGTTGGCCCTACAGGCAATTGAGCTGGAAAATAACTTTCAAATTAAGAAAATCTTGCATTCAGCGTGGGTTACAGTTAGTATAGAAATATATTTGCAACACATTTTGTATCTAAGATTAAACAAATCACAAGTTTACGTTAAGCAATTAGTAGCGAGCACAATATCGGTACTTAAAGGCTTTGGAAATGTTTCGCGACTACAAACAATTCGAGGTACATATTGTATGTAAAAACATTAAGATTGATACGAGAGATATAAGGGGCGTTTGCTGTTTAGACGGAATCTTGAATACTTACAAATTTTAGTACAAGATAGAACCAAATTGCAAAGCAAAGGGGTTAGCAACTGAGAAACTATCAACAATAGTCAAAGGAAAATTGCAGCCTAACTCTAGGGTATGATATTCGGGCCAATCTCATTTTGATTGTCAGGTATTTGGCCACACAGCTTATGTTAGTTTGCAGTTCGAGTATTAAAATGAAATTCGTAGTTTTTGTCCCATGCCAACTCACGTGGTGCGTGTCTCCTCATCAGTGCTGTTCCTGGAATATATTAAGGTACTTTCATTAATTGATGATACACATACGAAGAGAAGAAATCTATTCAAAGCAAGCCAGCAAAATCACTCACTTCAATCCTTGGGCAGCACAAGTCTAATAAAGTTCATACTTTGCATGCAAATCAAACAAATTCATCGAAATCGCTGCTTAAGTCTAAGTTACCTGGGATCTTGATGGCTGCGCATGGCCAGAGTGGCCACCTCGAAGAGACCGATGAAGAAGCAAAGCATCAAGGGTCCGAAGATAGCTCCTTGCCAGCCGATCCAATACATGCCTCCGGCTATGGCCAGACCATTCAGGTACGGATGTCCACCACTAGTAAGTCGAATATAAAAATAAAAACCTTAAATCTGTGCGGTTATAAAAATAGACTCACCCTTTTAGGTCCGCATATATGGCCGTTTCAAAAGATGAGGGCACAAAGAATTGAAGCAGGAACAGTATAAGTCCTGCATAAAACCGGTCCTGGGCCAGCCAGAGCTCTAAAAAGGCTGGCACCGCACACCAGTAACTGCCTAGAAAAGGAGCCGCCGCCAGCATGGCCGCCAAAGCTGACGGTAGGAATACTATCCGGGCCCCAAAAATCGTGTGCACCAACCAGGTGAACAAGCCCGTAAATGTCGAGCACCGGAACATGGAAATTAGGACCACGGTAATTGAATTCTCCAGGGCATCGGCAATTTTGATCCCCGAACTGGAGTAACCCAGGTACTTGGTGATCTGCAGCGGCGCGTACTTTTCCTGACTGCTTGAAAGCAGATAAAACAGGGCCGTGAAGAATACAATCTAAATAGAGAAATATTGAAATTACTTTCTGAGATTACAATTTTGCTACTTTAAATTGATAATTCAATTTTTAGTAATAGTTACAAAGCTTTTTAATTTTTTCACTAAGATAATTTGAATTAATATGTCAAATCATTTCAATGCTACTCTAAATCGTCAATATGCTTTTAGAATATGTTTGAAATAACATTTATAACTTGTATTGAAGATACCATACTGTAAGAAACATCACAACATATAATTTTGGATCTGTTCCATATCTTGAATGCTTTGAGAAAAGAGAGAACCGTTAGGATACGTAACTTTTTGCTTCTAAGCTATCTAATATAACGAATATCAATTTAAACTACATTTGTAAAGCAACCTTTTTTTTACACTTACCATGTCCAATATAAATTCAATGCACGCCTGTCCACCAGATAGTACTAGCGATAGGACTTCTCCGGTCACGCCCATGATCATTGAAAGATTGGTTCGAATGATGTGCCACAGGGACTCGGCAACCTCGAGGATCGTCTGCGTGTTGCTCTGCGCCCAGCCAATAATGCCCTGTTTTGCCACTAAAACTAGCTCTTTAAAATGTCCTTGGTTAAATAAACGGCCGTTGGTTAGCAGATGCAACACAGAATGAGTTATTTCGTAGACGCAAACGATTGTTACGGGATGGATAAAGCGCGCAAGATCTCAACAAAAGCCCTTCAACCCATGCATAAACCCCGAAACCGAACTCAAAAATCAAATTAGTAAAAAGGGACGAAAAAAAGATAGAAAGAAGCCCACAACAGGTTATCGAGGTCTTACCTGGATTGTCGACGATTTCCCCAAATGTACTCTTCAGCGCATCCGTTGGTACCCGCGGACCGTACGAGGTGCCCGCCTTGTTAAAATCGATCCAGTACTGGATGAGTCTGTCCCACACGTCGAGGATCTGCTCCTTCAGCTTGGTGGCGTGCACTTTGTCAGCATCCGCAAGCCAGTCGTCAATGTAGGTCTCGATTTTGCGGCGACCATAGTGGTGTGCATTGTCTAAGGCATCATCGATTGACGATTGCATGTTCGCTGGCAAGATATCAATTAGCTCAGGCCGATCTGTGATCGTCTTGTTAATTAGATCCTTGCCTAGGTAAGCAACCTCAATCGTCTCCGAGTATATGTTCACGCAGAAGAACACGCTCAGAAATACGATGATGAGCAACATAAGAATGATCATAAGGATGGAAGTTACTGATTCTACAGAGGACTTTAACGAGTCCCGCACGATAGTGTTGATCTTGTAGTTCAGTTCAAGAACGCCAGGCAGGCACAGCGGCAGCACGGCGGAGTGGTGTTCGATGGCCCACGACTGAAATGTTCATGACATTATCTTTATATAGTATAAGTAGTTTTACAAAACTCACTCGCAGTGTTGCGTAAACTTCACTGATTTTGTTACAAACAAACTGGGTAATTCCCGTGTACGCTCCCACTGTGTAGATGAGGTGCAGGAATACTGGAATAGCAGCTAGTATAAACATCCACACGTTGCGATAAAGAAAAGTGCCCAGACAAGCGTAGAACAGGAGCTTAAAGAACGTATCGCTCTGGTGGCCTGGTGCTTCTGTTCCCGGCTTGGCATCAAATGTGTCCGTGGAGTCGACCGTGTCGCTCAGCGAGATGTCCTCCACATCCGATTGCAGACCCGGACTTAGTGGCTCATTGTTGGTTCTGCCGCAAATGCTAAAGTTACTCAGCGATCGCTCGAAATCGTTCTTGTCGAACAACTTTTGCAGGCGATGCAGGTAGGATTCCGAATCATCTATCGTCTGCAGATGATACGCCGTAGAGGCTGTTACATAGGCCATGACCAGCAAGAAAACCGGCACCTGGAGGGCGCCAAGGAAGCTGCTCAGATAGCCAGCCACGGCTATCCACATGGACTGACCGGCGACCACGAAATGAGCGCTGTTATCTGGCGTCCAGAAGAAGTGCACACAGGTCAAGTAGACCACAACCAGGGAGATAAGCTGTGAAATAAAAAAAACATGTCAGAACGGAATCTGAAGTATCATGAGTCTCTTTTGCTAGGTCTTTGACTTGCCCCCATTCAAATGAGACGTTTCTGTCTACTAAACAAAAAAATCATCTGTGAGCCCCGGAACAAGAATAATGCTTAATTTCTGACCGGTTTTAGAATGTTTAAATGTTCGTAGCAATCGTTTAAATGTTCCTAGCACAATGAATCACCACTGAAAAATCGACCAGCTACATACCACGTACACGTTGAGGAATCCGATAATTTGAACGAACATGCCGTGCGAAAAGGTTATCCAGTGCCAGAGCGCCAAGAGGAAGCCCTTGGGCGCGTACAGGACCAACAGCTTGATGCACCCGGCCACTCCGCATCCGGCTAGGAGTAGTTGCCAGTGCTCGCAGAGCCATCCGATCAGCAAGCGACCGCAGTGCTCAGTGGCCTCCAACGGGGACAGGCAGATAGAAACCAGAACATTGGAGTCACGTTCCTCCAGGCGCTGGAACCAACCGTTTACACTCTCCGCCAGCCGCCGTTTGAACGGGAAGAGCACGGCACCCATGAGGAAGGCCCACAACAGCGGTCGGACGAAGGGCCCGAGGATGAAGCAGACGGCCACGAAGGCCCCCACTCCAGCGGCAATTAGGAAGTTGTACATGGCAGCGCGAAAACTCTCATGGTTCTGGGACCTCATCCGGAGCAGTCGATTGAGCACACTGTCGAAAGACCGGTCTCTCCGGATAGGAATCGGTTCAGATCGATTCATATTTTCTTTGTTTTAGTTTCAGCTAGAATAGGTGCAATGTTATTATGGGAAAACCGGATTAGAGCTCCGTGACCATGTGGGGGGCACACCCGAATTACTATTTTCGGAACGGAAACTCACTTTTGATGATTTTGCGTGGTGTTCCTGTGGTCAGCAACAGATGATTGGCATCGGGGGCTGGGAGGGATTCCGGCGGAAGTGGCGGAGTTAATATTTTCCGCACCTGGATGTGGACATCGGGATCGGGCGGCAGCAGCTTCCCACTCGCTTCTTGAGGGGCGGGGGAGCGGGCACACATAAACAAAAATACGTCGAATCTGGCAATTACGTCAGGCGGGCAGGGCTGTGAAGGGAGACGCTGTGCAACACTGGCAAGAAGCCGATACACAGTGGTCGCCCGCTACGAGCACAAAAATATCGGAGTGAAACAAAAAATAATGGAGTTTTCAAAAATATTTTAATTGCTAATTTTGTAAAAATTAATTACCATAGCTATAAAACGATTGTTGGAACATAGTATATTATATTCTGTAAAAATTTTCGTTTAATATTAAATATATGTGTAACAATTTTTAAACACATATCAGTTTTTCGTTTTAAATAAAAGTTTTCTTGTGTTTGTGAAAATTCTGAACGATTAGATACGTTTAAATACCCAAAGCCTGTAGGATGTATAATTGTAACAGTTAACGAGAGCTCACTGTTGTCACAGCGTTCGGCGCTTTCCAGCACTGTGCCTTTTCAAAACAAAAAATAGACGCCATGGAAGGTAAGCGGGAATAAATATTTTATTATTATTACAAAAGATTATAAAAGATTCATTACTGGCAGGTTTATCGCTGCAGCAGTTGCTCGATTTGCAGAACATCCAAAAGGAGTTGAACAGCAACAAGGACGCCTACTTAAAGACCTACCGCCAAGTTTTGAAACAGAAATTCAGAACGGAACTCAACAATTTGGTATATTGTGGTGCAATCTCAATAGCGCAGCCCTATTAATATATATTCAATCCCGCAGGTTCGGGCCGATTTCAACATAGTAAAATCCGAGTTGAAAGTTCCACAACTACCGCCCCTTCCCATCGAAGACGAGGAAATTCCATCCAAAATACAGGTAAGATTTTTATAATACGCTTTGGCAGTCTCTATATTTAATAGGCACATTCACTAACAGATTAGCGACATAGTGAAGGACTACGACTTCACCAGGGACTGTTTGTCCTTGCTGTAGGACTGCTCCGATCGATCCTTGGTGCTGTTTAGCCAATATCCATGCAGCACGCGATATGTGTGCTGCAGACACTCAAAGGATGGGGATTGGCTCTGGAAATAAAGAGCAGTGACGTTAGAACAAGGATAATGAAATCAGACAAGTACTCACATTGAAAAGGGGTACAATGGGCCGTTTCTTGAACAGGCTCCCTTTCGTTCGTAATATCAGCATGTACTTCACGTCCAACTATTAGCGAAATAGAATAAAAATCACATAATTAATCAGTAAATAACGTATTTGAAACCAATGTCCTTGAGAATCTTGAGTAATGAGTAGAATACAACATTTATACAAATTACCCATCGATTTTTCAGGGCATGTTTTGATAAATGAGTTCATATCCTCTTAGAATTTAGAATGACAGAAGATTGCAATATTGCAAGATATGTGTGCAGTTCGTACATCTTCAATGACTTCGTTCAGCACTATGTCCTGGATGTGTCCTCTCTGGACGCACGAGACCGTTTCCCTGCCGAAAGACCGCACCGTCTCTATCTGGAGGGCCATGTCCCAGCTGTAGAACAGTCGCTCCGCCTGCACCAAGTTAAGAGTCGAGCGGAGCATCAGGATGGCCATGGCAACACTTGTGACCAGAGGGTACAGAATGCGGGGCTGAAGGATGTGTACTCTTCTGTCCTCAAATCCGCAGACTCCGACAAAGTATGCGATGGCCAGGAAGACGAGCAGCAGCAACCGGCGCAACATGCGCTGCAGTTGGACCCCATGCTGCCGGTTCACCAATTCGATGCGGACCGCGTCGCCGTCACAGTGTCTGATGCACAATTCCAAATCCGCTTCCACGGAACCGGCATACTTTGCTTGCCGGCTATAATATCTGTGGATCGTTACTTGGGGTTCCATTTTTTAGCTCTGTGTACTTTACAGCTGAAACAAACCTTTACGCTTATGCGATACTATCGTTGTTTCAAAAAATGTCGCTACGATTTATAGCCTGTTCAGACAGAAGGTGCTTCTGCAACAGCGACCAAATTCCGCATCAGCGCCATTTTCATCCGTAAGAAGAACATGTATAAGTACTAGAACTCTTATGCCTACACAGAGAAAAGAAAGCCTTCCAAAATTGAGGAAAAGTTCTTAAATAAAGAAGGTTTAATCATAAACTGTAAATTAGAACAAATATTCTTAAACTACAACAAAATGTTCTTATATTAAAAAACAATATTTTAGGAATGTTTTATATGGCTTGAAGAAAATAAACACTTTAAAATGCGCTCTACTTAAGAAACATTACAGATCCAAAGTCGCTAAGACACGCTGTCGTCTAAATTAATTTAAGGTTAAGGGCAACATTTTCCTAAGAAAGTTTGTTCCTATTGTAAGAATTAGGAATTTTGTTCTTAAATTTAGACTGCGTATTCCCCCCAGTGCAAGAAATATTTCCGAATGACTTCATTTTTTGCTTTAATCAACCCATATTTATTTCAGTTTTTAAGCAAGTATTTTAACTGTTTGTCATAGTTTCGTTTTTAGTTGAATTTCAAATTTAAACTGACTTAAATGTCAACTTACAAATTTTTAAGTAGTTTTAAAGAGAGTACTGTAATTTCACACAGAATATAACTCAGAATGCTTTCTATAGTAGTGTGGTACCGGGCAGTCTTCCTGCGATTAACATATAAAACAAAAGATAAGCAGAGCAAATGGCTTGATCATAAGGTAGTTGATAAGAAAGTACATATTTTCTCTCCATAAATGTTAGTTCTTTCAAATATTACTTGAGATTTTTATCTTTATGTTTACGACTCAAAAATGAAGGAGCGATAAATATCGTTACAGATGGCGAAGGTTTAATTCTAACAGCAGCTCACGCTAATGACTCCAGCGACATTTGCAGCATTTGTGTTTAAAGATGATAAGTCTATCTATAAAAACATTTCATAATTTAAAATATTAAATTAAAATCTTACTTATTTTTCAGGAATTACTAAAGTTCCAAATTTACACCGATTGATAGTGGGTTGAGATTGTTGTGATTGAGTTGAAATGGATTTGATTTACTTAAAAAAAATTTTTTTTAGCTAAACGTACAAAAGTACTTAAGAAGAAAGGCTTGTTTGCTGATTCTGTGCACTTTCAAAGGCCTGAAATAAACAATGAATAAGGTATGAAAATATTAATTTAAGAAAAGCAAGCACTTGCATTTTGAGCTGTTTTCTGAAGGCCGTCGTATGAGGCCTGACCCATCTGTTTGACCATGTCGTGGAACACCTTAGAATCTGCTGCCGTCAGAAGCTCAAAGGGTGTCCCAAACTCCACAGCTCTTCCAGCATCCATGACCAGCACCTTGTCCAAGTCCATTATAGTGTGCAATCGATGGGCTATCGTTAGGACAGTGCAATCCCTGAACTTGTTCCGAATGGTGGCTTGAATTAGGGCGTCCGTCTGGGGATCCACATTGGCCGTGGCCTCGTCCATCACGAGGATTCGATTATCCCGCAGAATGGCTCGTGCCAAGCAAATCAACTGGCGCTCACCCACGCTAAAGTTGGATCCTCCCTCGGAGATTTTGGTCTCTAAGCCAGTTGGCAAATTGGCCACCACATCCTTAAGCTTCACCTCCTCCAAGGAGTGCCACAACTTTTCATCACTGTACTCGTCGAAGGGATCCAAGTTGTATCGCATTGTGCCGGAGAACAGAACGGGTTCTTGGGGAATAATCGAGATCTTTCTACGCAAGTCGTGCAGACCCATGTCGTTAGTGTCCCTCTGGTCTATGAGTATGGATCCATCGTTGTAGGACAGTCGGAAGAGGGCGTTTATCAGCGAGGACTTGCCCGCGCCAGTGCGACCTACGATGCCTACCTTTTCCTTTGGCTTGATCACGAAACTCAGTGACTTAAGCACGTTTTCCGCCTTTGGATCCGGCATGTAGCGCAGACTCAGCTCATCAAATACTATTTTCCCTTCTTCTGGCCAGGACTGGGGTGGCTTTTTATCCGCCGGAGCTTCCAAGGCTCCCTCTGGCTCAATGTCCTCGTACTCAAGCACTCTCTCCACGGAAATCATTGTGGTCTCCAACTCGGCCGATTGGCGGACAGTCCACTGTACTGTGCTCGTCAGACCCATGGCCTGGCAAAGATTTAACGAATTAATATCCTAAGAAGAAGCAATTTTGCATGGCTTTTACCTGGGTTATGGCCAGACCAACATCGGCTCCACTGACAGGCGGAAATATGAAAAAGCCGAGTGTGACGATCGCTACATAGAGCACACAGAACATGTCCATCCAATAACCAAAGGCGCGCGAGGTGCTGATGAACATATAGGCAGCGGAACTATGTATATCTTGGTAGCTATCGAACTCCGCCTCCAAAATGCTCTCAGCTCCAAAGGCTCGAATGGTGGAGAGACCAGTAAGAGAAGCAGCTAAATGAGAGTATACCGGTGTTCGACCTGTTAAAACAGGACAGGTTTTAAGAGGTATTCTTTCGTACTAATGCATACTCCGTTAGATATTACTCACTACTAGCTTCCAAACGTTTTAAATCCCTCGAAGTTTTAAGGTAAAAAGTGCGCAGGTGATAGAAGACTACACCAATCGCGAGTGCGGGCAGGAGGAATAGAGGATTAACAATGGATATCACAACTATATTGCCGGCAAGAGCGAGGAACTCCTGGATGACGGTCATCATTATAGTGGGCAGCATCTCATCCACTTGACCCATGTCCTTGGAGAACCGATTTAGGATACCACCCGAAGGGTTCGTGTTGAAAAAGTACATGGAGGCTCGACACACTCCACGAAACATGGCGTTGTGCAACTGAACAGAGGCCTTCATTGCCAAGTTGAAGAACAAAAAGGACCGTTTCACGGTCACAACAATGGTAAGTACTGTAATCAGCGTAAATATATAGGTGTCTTGCATTACATCTCCCGCGCCCTTAGAACTGTCAGCTGTCTTTGAAACCCTAGAGCAGAAAAAGTTAGTCTTTTGAATTTTCATGAATATTAATTATATAAAGACCACTTACCAGGGCGACAGAAAGTAATCTCCCAGCGAGGCTAGGCCCTGGGAGCCCAAAGAGAAGCTTATCATCACGACGAAGGGGAGGAGTCCGCCTCCTGCCTTAAAGTAATCGGTGCACACTGCCAGGACACTGCGACCCATCCCTTTACGCTCAAGGTTGATCACCTGTTCCTCCGGGGCATCCTCTGGACAGGATTCCGCATTAGAAAGGACAGATTTTAAACTGCTGCGCCGGTGATCTGTGATACTGGGGGCTCTTGATAGTTCTACCGCCGGCTCCTCGTGAGCTTCTGGTTTAACCAGTATGCTGCCAAAGTCCGCGCCCGACTTTATAAGCTCCTCATAGGTGCCCACGCCGCTAACCTGACCCTTATCCATGATCACTATTTGATCGGCTTGCTGCAGAAACTGCAGCTGATGGGTCGCCAGAATGATGATGCGTTCTCGCAGGTAGCCCCGCATGCAATGCTCGAAGAGATGGCGGGCGACATTGGAGTCCACCGCACTGAGTGGGTCATCCAGCAAGTAGATGGAGGCCTGCCGGTAGACCGCCCTGGCCAAACTGATTCTCGCCTTCTGGCCGCCGGACAGGGAAGCTCCTCGGTCTCCTACTATGGTTTTATCCTTGAGCGGAAGTAGCTCAAAGTCTCGTTCCAGAGCGCATTCCTTCACCACAGCATCGTACCGCCGACGGTCCATGGGCTGGCCAAAGAGGATGTTCTGGCGCACGGTGCCGGAGAATAGCCACGGCTCTTGGGAGGCATAGGATATGGAACCATCAATCTTGATCTCGCCAGATTCGGCGCGCAGCTCCCTCAGAATAGCTTGGATCAGACTGGATTTTCCGGAGCCAGTGTGACCCACAATGGCCAACAAAGTGCCAGGAGATACCTGCAGGTCTACTCCGCTTAGTGTGTAATTCGTTGCGCTGGCATCCCACTTGGCTCTAAGTCCCCTTATGGATAAACGCGCCTTCGAATGAAGGGGTTCCTCAGTAGTAATGACGCCACTCGTTGTTCCTAAAAGCTTTTCCTCAGCCTCCTGGAGATCGTTTATGTCTTGAGTATTTTCTATTGTGTCATTCGAGGTTTTTGATTGTGCACATAGCAAAAACTTCTCCAAACGCTTGATGGAAACTAGGGTCTCCGCCGTCTGCGTCATTCCCAATGAGAAAAAAGCGGTCATATTGGTGTTCACGACGTTGTAGTATGCGGTTATCAGAAAAGCCACTTCCGCCGTG